TGACTGGCCGGGGGTGTTTTTCGCGGCAGGAGTGATGGAAGAGGGGAAAGTAATTGACGTGGGGAGCTTTGGCGGTGGAGAGCCAGAGGTGTTCGCTGTTGATGACGAGGGACGAGTGAAGTCCACACAAGCCCAGGGGACGCCAGCGCGGATGCCAACGGTCAGACAAAATCCTTCAGTTGGGTCGGCGCGGTGTCGAAATTCGAAGGATGACAGGTTGACACGGAACCTCGTCTTGGGGTCAGGCCGGATGGGCGAGATCCTCTGAGGCGCCACGGGCAGGCTCTCCCACGTCGCGGACGGGAGGTCGCTGCCGCCCTTCCCGCTCGAGTCGACGGCGTCGCGCAGCCCGCGGCGCTGGAGGAGCGCAAAGCCGTGCTTCTCGAACTCGGCGTGGAGCCACCGCGGGAAGACGAACTTGAACGCCGTCGTCCTCGGCTCCTGGTCCCGCGCGGTGGTGCCCAGGTCGACTTCGTCCTCCTCCGCACCTGGGCTGGTTTTCGTGCCAGTGCGCGAGCCGACATACGCAGTCATCGCCCACGGCGAGCGCGACGACGCCCGGTGCGAGATGTACACGTTCTGCCAGCGCGCGACGAGCGATCCGGGGTGCGCGTCCGCCAGAATGTATGTCGCGTGCGAAACGGGAGCCAGACGGTACCGCATGCGCGCCCACTTCGCTTCTCCCGCGATGGTGGTCCCGGTGAAGAAGCGAGTGTATTCGGGTTCCAAAGTGTGCAGTCGTCGACGGAGGAGGAGACCAAGTGGCGCGATCGGGGAAGGAACGAAGTGTGGAGAGAAGGGCGGTGAGGAGACCTCCTGGCAGGCCAGCACGGCGATGGCGAGCGTGAGGCTCTCTTTGTATCCGGAGACGACGAACAAGTGGGAACGGATCCCTTGAGTTGTGACGGAGAAGTCGGGGAGGTACTGGGCTGTGAGGCTCTGCTGCTCTTCGGGAGACATTAGGACCTGTATAAACAGTCAATAAACATTCGAAGAGGTTCAACGTCCACAGCGCGTATGCACCTTGTCAGAAGCACGGATGCCAAGCACCTTCAACGCCTGCGACGCAGCAAGGTGCAGCGGGATGGGCACAAAGTTGGCCGAGTTGCAGAACGCGGCCGGCGACGGGGCGAATATGTGGCTTTCTTCATGGTAGTTGCTGAACACGAGCCGCTCCCGGAACAACCGCGTGCCGAACGGGACGACGTGGCCCCACGCGAACACCGTCTGGTCCGAGGTCTGCGTCAGGATCTCCTCCTGCAGCCGCCGGAACGCGCGCCGGCCCTCGCCGTAGACGGTCGGCATGTGGACCCCAAAGAGGCCCATGAGCGAGTACGCCTCGTCCTCGACACGCGTTGTCGTCCGGCCCGACGCCCACCACATCCGCCGCGCGACGCTGACGTCGCCAACGGGGCGGCGGTGCACGAGCACGTCCGCGTCGACGCCGGTGATCTCCTCGAGGAGAGCGGCCATGCTTGCCTTGGTCCCGATCATCTGCCAGTCGCTCGAGTAGAAGAGCACTGTGCGGGGCGCGATGAGCTCTTGCAGGGTCCAGCCGCGCGTGAACCAACGGCTGTCGCGGAACTGGGGTGTCCACTTGCTGAAACGCGTCGAGGTGGATGATGGGAAGATAGATTGGGAGGGGACGTCGTGAAGATAGGCGTAGCAGACTTGGGCTTGCGCGTACCAGGCGAACATAGAGTTGATCGCCTCGGAGAGCTCGGCGCTGCTCGTGCGGTCGATGCAGCAGGTGTCAATCCAAAGCCACTCGTATCCATGCGACTCGGCGAGGACGCAGCACTCGCGAATCTTTGGTGACGCGTAGTCGCGCGGGACGCCGGTCGTGGTGGACTGGAGCGCCTGGAGCTGCTGAAAGGACATTTCTTGCCGCTGCCAGACGTGCGAGAGAATGGCGTAGCCGCCTTCAACGTCGTTGGGACCATTGAACTGCTCGAGTTCGCCGGTGCGAGTGCGGATGAGCCACATGGTGAATGTCAGCTTGGTGTCTGTGTTGAATACGATATGGTCAGGAGCTCGTGCGATTTACGAGCACCGAAAGGTACGCACTAGGGATTTGACCGGAGGAGCATCACGGTTGCACGCGATGGCAAAGGTTGGAGGACAAGCCGTGTTCAAATCGGATTGGTCGCCTACATAGTCCAGATGGCTTTGATGGGATAGCGCCCCGCCAGCGAGGCCTGACCACGGACATACCGGAAATAACCAATTCGTATTGAGTTCGTAGGCGTTCAATTTGCAAACGCAGAAGCCCTTCCGAAGGCACATAGTCAGGGGAATGCAGGCAACAAGTGATGGTTGGGTGGGAGAAAAGCCTCGCATATGTCAGCTTTCCTTGCTGCGTTCGCCGTGAAAGAGGGGTCCGGACTGGTGGATTTTCGGTGGCAAGCTCTTGCTCCGGCGCCCGATTCACGGCGCTCTCGTTTGCTACTTATCGGCTCGACGGAGTATACTTACAGCCGCATCCTGTATCGCTTACGTCTACCATGTTATCTTCGTGATCCCACGGACTTGATACGCACTAGAACCTTTATGCATAACGGTTCACCATCACTCGTACTCGTTTGTTGCTCGCCTACTATTGGCTTTACTATTAGATCTATTGCCTTAGCTACACAGTATTGAGTCTGGCGCTATCCAATGCTATCGGTATCATTCCTACTCCCCTCATCATCTGTGCGCCACACTCCAAGAGAAGACGGATCCCAAGTGAGTATGGCCATATCACAGCTTGGACCCATCCCCCACCGGTCGCGACCCGGAATTCTGCGCCCTCTCTAGCATCCACCCCGTGCTAGCCTCAGCGTACTCCTCCTTCATTCCGTTCGGCTCGCGCATGACTTCGTGGTATCCACCCTACAAAGCACTACTCAGCACCAATGGTCACCCGCATAGAAGCCACACCGACGCACGTCGAATACCTTGTACTCCTTATCCTCCGCCTCGACCTTGTCGAAGAAATCGCGCGAAGCCTTGGGCGACGTGATCTATATATGCACAGCGTAGTCAGCACCCCGCTGTCCTCTAGACCTTTAGTGGGCATGCTCACGCGATCGGCGGAGCCATGGAGGATGAGAAGCTTCGGAGATCGTCAGATTGAGTAGGCGGCGAGGGCAAACACATCACGCACCGGCATGTTTTTGGGCCAAGACTTGTAGTCCTTTGCGAGTAAGTGGTCACCCTATATGCGCACACAATGAGCGCAGGAAGCCGGACAATGGAACTATAGACGCACCCCGCTGAGCATGTCATTCACTCCCCTGAGGGTCCCCTTCTGGATGACCATAGGGTCCGCCACATACTTCTGGTTCTCGGCGGTGTCGTGCGAGAGATCCTGTGAAGGAGAAGTGACGTTAGATATGGATATGTGCACGCAAGGAGACGATAACACTCACGTCTGCAATGAGCGGGGTAGCAATGAGGGTCCAAGGGAGCACTCCGCTGGCCAGGCCTCCGACGACGCGCAGCGGCTTCGCGGTTGGAGTCGACTGTTGCACCAAAGGGCTTCCCGCGATGATCCCGGACAAGAGCGCAAGAGTCTCCTGCTTCGGCGGCGCGCCAGGACGCGTCGCGAAGGCCAACGCCAGTCCCCCGCCCTACACCGCCGCCCACACATCAGTCCCCACGACGCCCACAAAGATCGCCTCGGGCGCAGAAACACGAGCACGCACCATGGAATGCCCGTACAGGAAGAGCGGGACGTCCGGGAACGCCGCCTTCGCGCCCTTCTCGAGGAACCACTCGATGTCCGCGAGCTGGAGCGGCCAGCTCGTCTTCGCCCAGGAGCTCCCGCGGCTGCGGTGCTCCTTGTCGCACGCGGTGCGCCCGAAGCCGCGCTGGTCGTACGTGAACACGGCGACGCCGCGGGAGGCGAGCGTCGTGTGCAGCCACTCGTGACGCGCGCAGTGCTCGATGAAGCCGTGCACGAAGAGGACCGCCGCGGTGGGTGGAGCCGCATTCGGGGGCGCGTAGGTGCGGGTGTAGAACTGCGTGCCGTCGTAGCCGGCTTGCCACGCCTCGGTGTATGCGGGCGCGCTTGAGGTTGAGGCGTCGGTCATGGTGAGAGTGAGAGGGGGAGAAACGCGAGGGGGCGGTAAACGAGCGTCGACCCAGGACAAGGGCTGCTTGGTGCTAGGCGCTGCCAATTACGCGCCAGGCGTGATCCGGGACAGGTGCCTCGGGGAACCAGGGGCATGCTGAGGTGGCGACCGCGCATACTATTACCATATATGCCACGCAGAATTTCACGACTGAGACTCATGCTAGCTGTACCAAGTGACATCCGCCCTCTTCGCAAGCTGAAGCCTACCGCCATCAGAAAAGTCAACACAGGCGCCCGTAGGCACTACGCCTACGGTATGACGTCAGTCAATTTTAATTTGCGTCCACGGAACACTATTTTCATCAGGTAGAGCGTCTTTACCGCGGAGCAGAACTCGAAGGCCAACCGAAATTACAGCGGAGACTTATGGTATTGGCTACGATAAGAAAAGGAGACAGCATACTTACGAATTTGAATGTTTCAAGACCCACGAGACACAATCATCCACGAAATGCTCCTTCACGCCTTCAGGTTCATACGCAAGCTCATGAAACCCGCCCTGTGAATATATCCGACGTCAACATTTGGAACGAAAAGTGCATAGCATGGCACTAGCTCACTATGTACGATTTGAACTCTTTGTCAGATGCATCCAGTTTCTCGAAGAATTCGTCTGATGCAGCATAGGAAGCAACCTAATTCGATGTCAGAGCTCATCCATGACGGCCAATGGACACCATCGACTTCATACCTTGTCCTCGGTCCCATGTATACCAATGACCTAAGAGCGAACACATGGAAGGGTCGAGACACAAGTTTGAAAGCGTGCAAACACATACCGGCATTGCTTTAGGCCATTGCTTGTGATCGTACCGCAACAAATTCTCACCCTAATGCACAGCAATGAGCACATCAACGATCTACGAGGACGTGCACATCACTCACACCACCGAGCATATCATCAAGACACCTCAGCGAACCTTTGTGGAGGATACGCGGGTCCTTGGAGTTCGCTTCATTCTTCACGGGGTCGTGAGACAGATTCTAATCGCGTTTCGCGGAGTTAGACACGAGCCCACAGAGGTCTACGACCACTCACATTCGGATTGATGGGTGTATGCAAGACGAGATTAGGCATGACGAAACTGAGGAGCCACCCTGCCCACCGCACATGCCACGCCGTCGGCTTCGTGCGCAGAATGAACGGACTCGAGGCCACCACGCCCGCCAGCATCTCCACCGCGTCCGCGCTCGGGGGCGCACTCTTCCGCGTCACGAACGCCAATGCCAGCGCCCCTCCCTTCGGGACGCGCGTCAGCGTACACAGATACTCAAATCAAGAACCTCACGCACCATAGAATGCCCCATGAGAAACACCGGCAAGCCGGGGTACCGATCCTTGACGTGCCTCACCCACCACTCAATGTCCCCCAGCTGCTCGCGCCAGCTCGTCCGGCCGTAGAGCGCGCCCGGGGTGCGCGCGCGCTCCTCCGCGTCGAGCGCCGTCCGCCCGAAGCCGCGTTGGTCGAAGGTGAAGACGGTCACGCCCCGCGCGGCGTACTCGCCGTGCATCCACTCGTACCGCGCGCAGTGGCCCGAGAACCCGTGCACGAAGACGACGGCGGCGCGCGCGGGGCAGGGCGCGGAGGCGTACGTGCGCGTGTAGAATGAGGTGCCGTCGGGGCCCGGGAGCCAGGCTTCCGTAAACGCGTCGGGCGTGGAGGTCGAGGCGGTATCCATGGAGTGCGGAGAGATCTGAGGTGGTGGAAGGGTAGAGTGCGCGGGAGACGGGAGGGCAGGGAAAGCGAGAGGCGGAGGTGCGGTCGCCGTGCGTGGGGCTGGCCGCAAGCTGTGGGTATGTACGTGACTTCTGCCCCAATGGATGGTCTACTGGGTGGTCGCAGCTCCGCGGCCTTCGACGGGTGCCTGGCTTCGCACACGTGTGAGCGGCAGGCGTTGGTCAGAAATTTAAACCTTGTTGGGCGGCGCGCTCGGAATCGAAGACCACATTCGCGGGCTTCTCGTGAAGCGTTCAGAGTCTTGTCCGTTTTCGCTGATGCGCGCGCTGTCCAATGGACTACGATACGAATCACAGAGCACTTGGTACCGAAAGGATGTCCATGGAAGGAAACATCTGGAGACCCCAAAACCGACCGACTCAGCCTCCTTGATCGTTATGAGCAGATGTTGACGTGCGTTTAATCTGCATGCACGAATATCATCAGCAAGTGCATGGTGCCAGAGACGGCGGTACGCACATCTCAGACAGTCCCATCCAATGCACCAGCGTCGGTCCGCTTCTCAAGTCTGGAGCGTATGCTGTTGCTATCTGCGCCTTCATTCGACGTGGACATGGCTGTATGCGCGGCCGCAAAGGAGAGTGTATTGAGGGGCATCGGGCCGCTCTGAGCCTCGCTCTGCGAGAGCGGACGTCTAGCCCACTGGATGGTCCCGACGCTCCCAGAGCCCGTTGACATCGACCCATTTCTCTCGAATTCCCATCCGAGGCCCACACGCACAGTGATGAGCATGAAGGTTACTCCGAGCACCGACGGCGCGCAGCTGGTGCCGATGATTTGGAGGTTGGACTTGACGCTGTACACGACCACGAAGAAGATGCCCCATGCGCTGGAAAGTTTGTCAGAAGTGCCGAAGATAACAGTGCAGAAAGCTCACGTGTAGAGCGCAGCACTTTCTACGAATATAGCCAGCGCGCCCTGAAGGGAAGCGGTCAGATATGTTCTTACAGGCCAGCGCCGGCTGTCCAAAGCAAGTAAGTACCTGAACATTATCTCCGGCCTGCTGAAGTCCGGATCCGACGATCATCCTGTTCGTTGACCAGATGCGGTAGGCAATGACCACAGTCCCGTAAATGTTCGTTCTATCATTCACACATCAGATATGAGGAAACCGTAGTGTCAACGGCACTCACCCAAATGTCATGGTCGTGTAGGCTGTGATCCAGCGGTTGATCTTGGGGTCAAAGACGGTACCTCCCGGCTCGCTGAGCAAAAATTGATGGATGAGACCGATACCCGTTGCTGGCGGAGAAGTCATGACCTAGTTCAAGCCGTGGAGAACAACAACGCACCTACAAGTGCCACCGTGGTCAACAGAGGCAGCGCAATGATCCCCCGTTGCCGTCCCCAGACGTGCCACACCCTGTAGGCCTTGATACGAACAGCTCAATATGTGCACTTCAGTCATGCGGCACGTACTTACAATGACCAGATCCCCGATGAACATGTCGATGAAGAGAAAGACAAGTCGGATGACTTGCGTGATCTCTCCGAGGTCGCTGATGAACGCCTCCGCTTCGGAGCGCGTTTCGTGGTAGGCGATGGCGAGAATCAACCTCCGCGCAGTGACGATACAATGCTGCAAGTACTTCAGCACTGTTGGGAAATCAGGACCGGCAGATACGCACCGCAGTAATCGTTGCGAAGAGCAACCCAGTGGCGACGATGAGCGGTGAATGTCGCAGGCTCCACATCGCCGCCGCCCACCTAGACAAGCTTGACACTGAGCTCGACGTTGCCGGCTTGCTGTGTGCTTCGCGGTGTCTCCGCAGGAGGAGGGCGAGTGAGGTGGTAGAGAGCACGAAGAAGATGCCGAAGAGGATGCACTCTAGAAAACCTGCGATGAGGTCCGCCTCGACGACGCTGACCATCGCTGAACGATGCGGGGCCAGAGGTGGTCTCAACGGGCCTTGCGCCTCAAGGTATTATTCCTTCAATGACATATGACTTGACCGTGGAGCCCGAGTTTGGCGATGATGAGACGACGGTGCGGGCCAGGGATCGATGTGCCTGAGGCTGTCAAGAATGTTGAATGGGGATATGTCACGCGCTCTGTGTGGTCGGATTCGGAGCGCGGGTTGTGATGTCGGGATGCCGTACCCGACAATGAGCTTCAGAAGCCATATGGTTGCGACATAGCCGCTTGAGTATTGGTCACCTGTTGGGGGTAAGTGAGATGAACGCAATTTGACTGAGACTCGTACCGTGGAGTATGTACTGCCATGTATCGCTCACGATTTGAAGGTGAACACTCGCGCTGATATCGGGTAGGGCAAATCTTTTGTAGAGTGCAATATTTATCATCCGACGAGTCCAACACGTACATACACGGTGGGTCACAACCGCACAGTTCTTCGAAAGTAGCGATTCGCACTTCAGAACCGCTTGCTGTCGAAAGCTCCACCGAGGCCCTGCATCGTTCGGCCCATACTCCCGAACGTCCCCCCGCCGAGTCCTCCGCGCGATTGCCTGAGCGTGTGCTGTTTGTACCCGTAGAGCGCACCGGCCACGACGCCAACGAAAAGGAAGAGCTTGACGAACGTCCAGGTCCACGACGAAGATTGGCTGATCCCGAATTTGCGACCAGCGTTTCCTGTGAGTTTGTCGCGCTGAGCGTCTGGGGAGGAGAGGATGGCGGAGTAGGTGGTGATGCTGATGATGCTGGAGGGTCACATCTGTCAGCGGCGCAAGGGTGAAAAGAGGGTATTGTGAGGCTACTCACTCGTGATTATCCGAGACGTCACCGGTGAGTGCGGAGAAGCCAATATAAGGGGCAAGCGGAAGAGTGACACCTTGAACAGTGAAGCAGTCGGTCCACTCGTCCCCTAGAAGCATGTGTGAATATTACGCATGAGAGGGGAGCAATTAGAAAAAAAATACGCACAGGCCTTATACTGAATCTTCACGTTCAAGTACTGCTCACGAAGGTAGGTGATCTTGAGCTTGGTTGCAACATTTGTACGCCTGAAGTTTGCCTATGTGCGCGTGGTTGAAGAGCAGGTATCCTGATATGGATATGCACTCACTGAACATGCACCGAGGGAGTTCTTCTCGCCGTCGTTATCGAGGTCGTACGATGTCTTGCCATCTCCAAGCATGGCGTTGATGCGCGGGAAAGAGTAGGGATGCCGCGAGTTGGCGTAACTATGGGAGGGCATACAGTTATACATGGCTCAATTAGACCAAGAGGACTAGAGACTCACGTGTCAAGGAAGAGACCCAGGCCTTCAAAATTGTCTGAAACGTCCGCCTATGAGTAGCTACATGCAACCGGACGCTCTTCAAGCTCACCTTTGCTACCGAACACAGGGCCCGGCTGAGCGCGATCTTTTGTCAGCCAGATAGCAAGCCCATCGCCGTACAGATGGTTGTTGTCACCCGATACCTAGTACAGAGTAAGTCGGCAATGAAAGCAGCGTGCATGGGAAGGGTAGGCTCACTTTGAATTCGATCTCGAGTACGAAGTTAGACGCAGTGAGAGGGGCACGCGACCAAAGCCAGCCCTAGCAAAGAATCATTCGATATGATGTGTTAACAACCAACCGAACGGACAACACACCATTTGAGATGCCCGGGCACGCGTGAGACGAATGTATTTGTTGGTGTTCTGCGGAGGTGTAGGTTGGCAATTCAAGATACGACGGTGTGGGAGGGACATACGACGTAGGCATCGGCACCAAAGTCCCACCAGCTGCCTCAAGTTGTGAGAGTTGGTCCAAGGAGGGGCAATAAGATAAACGGACCGATTTTGCAAGTCTTGGTCAATGTATGGGGGGTATATTGAGTGTGTCCGAAGTGAGATGGTCTGTCATCGGAGTAAGCCTCCAGTCACACACACCTCCTGCTCAACACGTGCAGGAGAAACACCAGAAAGCGACATAATCGATAAAATTACACACACGATCAATAGTCCGGTTGGCTAGCTGCGCCTTGTCGTCGAGCGCGGCCATGATGCCCAAGGGAAGGAGGAGACATGAGAGCAACGTCTTGATGAGCATGGCTGGAAGGTTGAGGCGTCGCCAGAGCACCACAGAGAGGGGACGGGGAAGGGAGTGTTAGCAGAGAGATGGGCGATAGTTAAGTTAGAAATACACAGCGAGAGCAGGTGCGACGACGACGGGGCGGGTGGTGGATGCACGTAGCCGTCCTGTGCCTGTGCACTCAGGGAGCTTTCGGCTGGCAGAGCACGTACCACGTGACTGGTGATCGGGGTCTCTTATGGTGACCTGAGGGTCCTCGACATCCAATCGACGTCGCAATCAAGTACTCTGCTTCGACTTCCCAGCTCCTCTACACTTCGTATTTGCTCTCATATCCACACCATCGACGTACCAAGTCTAAGACCCTTGCCAATACCCTGAAGGTTGTATACAAGCATATCAAGTAGCCCTCACCTGTTCGATCAAAGTGCCGAGTATTGGCGTCTGCTAGCGGAGGATAAGATGGAGGGAGACTGAGGGCTCGGCAGCGATGTACGTATCGTATGCATATGTTGTCTTTACTATCTGTACTCATTCACTGTTCTTTTTTGATCCGCCGACCTTACAGTTCAGACACCCAACATCACTTGCCTATTCCCCCTCCTTGCCATGAGACGCCGAAGGATTCGAGAACCCGCTCTGGATCTCGCGTCGTCTGTTCTCTTTGGACAGTTGGTCCCATCTCGAGCAACCCGCATCAGATGTCCTTCAAGTGCACCTGCCTTCCTACCGTAGCGGCCGCCCTCGCCTGCGAATGCGCCCCCAGTGGACCCGAACTTGGTATTTCCGATGGCCGCGAGCAAGACGGCGGGGGTCGCGTGTCGGACGGCCAAGATATCCTCTGGCGAGTTGCAACTCTTGTCCATTCGTCACTTCGGAGTTCGGACGGCCTCGCGATGCATCGCTGACTCATCTTTGGTCAGGTCGCAGAACTGCTCATCGGAGTGACGCACTCTCGCCGCTGCACGCGCTGGCTGCGCGGTGACCGCGAAAAGTCTGTGCCCACGCCGACTTCTAGCGACATCAACCCTCAGGCGACGTCGTCCTCTCAAAGCAGTACGCACCCGGTGTGCATGTTGTGGAAGAGTGAAGGGGTGATTTGTCCGTGGCAGGCACCTCCACCAATCCTAGGACCGGTGGAGTGTCTGCGGGTGTAGCGAGACGATCTGGAGGGCATGCTCGCGCGTGTCGCGTGGCAGCACACGGACCATGAGGCGCCGATTGGTTTAAGGGCTTCAGCAATGTCGATGAAGGGTGCACGATGGATAGCCAATCCAAGATTTGTCCATTGGCTTTGACAAGCGCCCCTCAGTAAAGTCTATCGCCTTGAACTAGGTTACACATCCAATACGTCCCGTCACTCGGTGTATGCTGTACCACGAAGTACACACCTCTGCTCGTCAATGGAGTCATGCAGCCACTTCTCAGGATCTATAGGGATACATGAGGGTGTTTGATTGGTATCGCCGGACAAGACCGTCACGACGGGCAGGCGAGGGGCGTCCGAGATCGGAAAATGTTCCCGACTATGTTATTGTATTGACCCCTGGGCGAGACTCCGCCAATAACATTTGTGAGCCTTGGATATATAAACGGTCCATTAACATCTCCCTAGCATTTCCGCGTCCCCGCCATGCTTTGTGTTTGAGTTTCCAAAATGTTGAAAAGAATGTTGTGCGCCGGCAAGCCCGGCCCTGAACATGCCGCAGAACCCGCAATGTTGCCGAGCAGGTCATATGACTTAAACATTTCCGCATCTCGGAAATGTTGCAGCCCGGTTCACATGACCAAGAATGTCTCCCGCTCTTGGAAATGTTGGTGACGACGGTAACTGGCTACTGACATTTCCAAGACGCCCCCATTTGACCCTGTGGGCGTGCTGATGTTGGTGATCAGAACGCACAAAATCAGCCAGCCCGTGGCGTGAGTTCGGTGCATTTCACGACGCTCATGACAATCCAAATGCTACAACAGCTTCACGAGTGCCTACGAAACGATTTACACAGTCAACGACAAGGGCGCCTGGCGTCGGTGCAGGTTCCTGCCGGTGAGCACTGCATGAAAGAAGAATGAGTCAAGAGCATTCGACGATGCGTTTGGTGAGGGAGCTCACCTGCGAACTGTTACCCGGTGTCGGAGCGCGGACTTGGATCTGGAGTGATCCACAGTGTCGCGATTCTGCGCCCTGGGCGCATCGCGGTAGACCGTAATGCGCGCTGGTTGGTCCCGAAACGCGCTGCCATCTCGGTGGGAAGCGTGGTTGCCGTCGGAGAGCCGCAATCGAGTAGCTCCGGCGGCTGGTAGCGGCTGGTAGCTCCAGGGTAGCTACAGGTAGCGCCGGAGGAGCTCCAGGTAGCGCCGGGTAGCTACGCAGCCACCCGCTCGAGTTCCAATGGCTCCAAGACGGTGCATACGGGGCATGCGCCGCATGAGAGTCTCGGCGCAGTAGCTATGAGAAGCCCCGATGGTTTCGAAGCTGCTCATAGCTTGCGTCGGAGCGCCGCGACGCGGCAGACCGTAGCTACGATGAGCTACGCCGCAACTCCGCGTAGCTATCGCATCGGACATTCTACTCACCTATCGCAACGCAATCCGCGCGAAGTTGCAGAGTGATGGGGCGAGGGAATTTAAGACTACATGGGTCATGACCAACGTCGACACAAAGGCTAAAATATATAACAAGATGGGGCAATTACTGTAAATCAAGCCGTTAGGGACCAGGGAGCAGACGGCATCAACGACTAGTGGGTACTCACCACAAGCTCAGCACAGTAGGCGTGCCTCAGAAGCCGCTGTGAGAAGGAGCGGGAATATCAGGAAGGGTGAAGTCGTAGTCTTTGTCGATGACCTGGAGGGCGTCGCGAATATGAGGTCGGAGGGACTGCAGCCACTCGGCATCATAACAGTTGCGACATAAGCCAACAGGCGCTCTGCCTTCGACAACTCTGCTGTGCTGGTTGAAGACTCGGTGGCGAGGGGGGTTGCCGGGGGTGGTGCGGATGACAGAGGGGGCTGCCCAGTCGGCCCGGTAGATAGCATCGAGCTTCCAGAGGAACGCTCTCATGGCCACGCTCTGCCAGCGCGCCAGGATGATACGAAACACAGGCGGGTGTTGTTTGACGTCACCATCGGTCTCGTCCCCGCTCATGTGGCATGGAGAGAGCATGGAGAAGAGCAGAATATGACGGCGTATCGCGATCCGAACGACGACAACGTTCCGGTGTTCGAGGATCTGGAACAAACGCTATCAGAAGAGGTGTTACTATACAAGAGTCGTCGTACTCACAGTCTTCTGGCGAGTGGCGATGGCTTTCCTCTTGCTCACGTCGCGTTTCCTCGCATGATCGGGAGGATCGAGCGCAGCCTTGTATTTTGAACGTAGCTGGTGCACATGCTTGTCGAGGAGAATAGTGACGTTCTTGGAGTTGAAGACACTGGCAGGGACCACGACCTTGGAGTTGCTCACGTAGTCAGTCTTGAAAACGTCCATGAAATCCTTGATGAAGACGACGCGAGCAAGCTTGTTCAGGGTGTTGCTTCGCCAGGGACGTTGCCAATCGATGCGGAAAGACTGCCGGGTGCACTTCAGGGTGTCCAAGCCACCTTCGTAACTCAACATCAGCAAATTGCTGATGGGAGGCTGCTTGGTCACGAGCTCTTGGGGCTTTGATACTCCACACAGAGAGTATAGGTGATCGCGTATGCTGTCCTGTTCGCGCATTAGGTACGCAAGCCACAGCCTAAACTCGAAAGCACATACCCTCAAGAACTTCACCGCAGCTTCGTTCTTGGGATCGATCAGTGCGGCACTGGGTGGGGGACGTTTCTGCTTCTCCGTGAGGACAAGACGTTCGTACTTGTCATCCGTATCAGCGTCCTGTTCGCTATCGCGTGAGTGTGACCCTTGCACCGGTGTATGGGAGTGGTCTCCGTTGATGTGCTCAGTCAGGGCGGCGGTGAGGTTCTCCTCTATTGTCGAGGCAGCGTCTTGTATCATCTCACTAAACTTTCGTTAAGTGACATAAAATGGATGGAGTGTGGTAATCAACTTACGAGAGTTCATTGTGGCTCGTCTCAACGAGGGAAGCAACACTTTGTATGAGGTGTTGACGATCTTCAGCGATATTCTGCACGGTTGCCATCAATTGGCGTCCCTGCCGCATGAGTACTTCAGCCCAGGCGGGGAGCGCGTCGTGGCTGCACTTTGGGGGCTGCGATGGACAAGTGAGTCCAGATAAAAATCATACAAAACAAGTGAACCTCACCTCTGAAGGGTGCGGGTTGGGCACGAAAGGGCGCGGGTTGGGCATGGGGGATCGGACTCTGAACGAACGTTCCGTCTCACCATCAGAAATCGTCGGGGGGTCCACACCAATATTGAGTGACGGGGATCCCAGCTCGGGTTGCGAAAGGCTGCTGTGGCGAGATAACGATGCGTAGGAATGGTATGTGATCGGGGAGGGTGGGGCCGCACTGATATAGGATACATGAGGTGAAAGGGCAGAGCCTCAATGAGCCTCACGCCGAGCACTCCGTGGCAAGGTTGTGCGCGTGCGATACGTGTCGTCAATTGGGATACCAGGCTCGTTGTCGTCGGCTGAGAAGTAGACATCGTCGGTGGGAGTGGGCGTACGGTTTTCAGCCTGGAGGCGTGTCGTATGGAACGAAGAGTTCTGCGAGGCTGTGGGGGTGCGCTCCGGGTCATCAAGCGTGATGCGGCGGTCTTCGTCCTCGTTGGTCGAGGAGTAGGCGTCGGTGGGAGTGGATGTACGATCCTCGCTGTCGACTGGAATGGGGGCTTTGTCGTCGGTCTGGATATGGTCGTCGTCGGTCTGGATATGGTCGTCGTCGGTCTGGATATGGTCGTCGTCGGTCTGGATATGGTCGTCGTCTCCCATCTGGATGTCTTGGCCGTTGCCATCAAGATGAAGTGCAGCACCGGCCTCGCCTGCCTTTGCATGAGGAGCATCTTGCGGGAGGTGGAACGCACGGGGCGCATGCATGGAGGCGTTCACTCCGGAGGGCTGAGGGGCTTCTCCTGGCAGGTCAGACGCACCGGGTGAGACGCTCACCCCAGAGAGCTGAGGGACAGCTGCGGCAAGAACACGCTGCTTGGCTGCTTCTTGCTCAGCTGCGACGACGGCTAGGGCTTGCTGCTTGACCAGCTCGGCGAGTTGGAGGAGGGCTGCCTCTTGCCCTGCCGTGTATGCGCACTGCGAGGCGGAGGAGGCGGAGGAAGCAGCAGACAAGATGTCGGAGCGGGACTGAGGAACAGGGCGATCCTGATCCATCAAGGCATCGGGATCCTCTTGTGACCCTTGCACGCCCGTAACCACCGGTTCTTGTTGGCGGTCGGAAAGCGGCGATCCTCGATGAGGGGAATGAGGGATAACGGACTGTTCAGCGACGTTGCCAGAAGACTGGTCGGAAACCACAGCAGGTCAGTTGAGCAGCTGATATTGCGGGATGTGGACCCACCTGAGAGATCTGGGACGAGTCTGACGCGCTAGCCGCGGTAGACTGACTTTTGGACTGTTCGGTGGTGGAGCGTTTCGCGGTGGCAGGGATACGGATGAGGAGTCTCACCCATGGGGGGACTTGTTTTGTATCTGGTGCAACAGTAGTATTCCCTGATTTCTTCGCACCGCCAGAGGCCCCTGCTTCCGGCAGGCGAGGTTGGCGAATTTCCACCTGGCCGTACCATTGGGATAGGGCAATGCACAAGCGGAAATAGAACTCGTACCGTATATTGAGACTTTAGTTTTGGTTCGACTAGCTGTAGAGGTGGCGGAGTTGACGTCTGAGTGGCAAGATTAGAGCACAATTATGAGCTTATAAGTTTGCCATTACTCACCTCAGACGTCTTAACGCTCTTTACTCCCGTCATCGTGGATCGTCCTCGTAGTTCGCGCTTTCCCAGCACACTTGGGGAGGGTCCTGGTGCTTGGCGAACTGGTGGTTGGGCCTAAGTCGAGTGAGCATAACATCGAGTCTGATTTTCCCGAACACGTACCGAATCTCCAGCATTTGTGCCGTCAGTGTTCGAGACTGATCCAGGTTCGCTCATAGTGCTAGTTGATATGTTCAAAATAAGCACCTGAGCTTGCAAACATGACTCGCGCTCACCTGAATAGTAGATGTATCTTCGGGGGATGTATAGACCATCTCGCATCGTCTTGCATATACCATCTTGACAGCGACAAGGCGTTTGGGGGCGATCGCGCGAGTGGAAACAAAGAGAGCAATCGGGCAGCGGCGAAGGGAAAGGCAAAGGGGGGCAAAGGGCTGGATTCGGCCACTCGCACACTTCGGCTGCTCCATCATCACGTGGAAGTAACAAAATGTCTATTAGCAAGGGATTAATAGCTACTCAATAGTCTCAGGAGCGCCGTATATTGCGAAACTCTGCAAACAGGTATGACTAGGGCGTACTCCCCAGTTGTCAATGATCTCTAGTGCAAATATACCGAACGTCATATCTGAATTAGCTATCTCCTCCAGAACATAGAACCTCTGGCTATGAGCGGTGTTATGGACGTCGTAAACGAACGTACCGAGTAAAGCCCAGAGATAGTTTCTATGTATACTCGGACGGGGCAAGGGGTGCGCGAGAGTGTGTAAAAGCTCGAACCTTTCTCTGTTGTGTTTCCCATCAACAATGCCCCAAAGCTTGATGTTCCTAGGAGCACAAGACCGTGTCTCTGCCCCCGCCATCTCGTGGCGGTTCGCCGACGGTTGGATGACCACATGAGAGACTCGGATCATGCGTGACGTACGCACACCGAGTTGCGCGGGGAGTGATGCGGGGGACCAAATACTAGAGGTGCCATCGAGTACGAGGTTGGGATCGTGTCTTGATGGAGATTGCCACAAAGAAAGCGCTGGAGACAACGACGTAACTTGCCGTACAACCATCCCTCCGCTTGCTGACTGTCCGTACTCTTCAATCGACGATGATGCAGCCGTGCGTGTCACCTCTGGGTGTGAAGGAGGCGGTGGAGGCGGTGGACCGGGTGGTGAAGGCGGTGAAGGCGGTGGGGGCGGTGGGGACTCAGGCGATGGGGACTCGGGCGGTGGGGACTCGGGCGGTGGGGACTCGGGCGGTGGGGACTCGGGCGGGGGGGACTCGGGAGCGGAGAACGGCAGCGAGGGTGTAGAACCGTATTGGTGAACAGGACAGTGGTGTATCAAGGCTTCGGCAATGAGGGCCTCTATCTCCGCTTTGAGTGTGGGGTGGAGAGAGACGGTGGCGGGAATGGATGGCGGCGTGCACAGGAAACCTATGGTGGACGAGTGGGCGACATTCGGATCGGAACATGTTATGGAGAGTTGGACGGAGATAGCAAGCCCGATGAGAAGGATGGAAACTATGAGTGGAAGGGTGGTGTAGCTCCGTGGTGGCGTCTGGGTGACTCTGCTAGATCCCGCCACTGTCAAGAGTGGTGGCGGTGGATGCGAATCCAGTTGAAATCGAACCTTGGCGTCGGGAACTAGGCAGCGACCTCAGTGAATGGCCCTGATGCACTAGATATACTGGTCACGTACCTGATCGTGCATAATTTTGCGTCATGGAATCTTCTCGCAACAGGAATCTCGAAGACGAGTATCGACTAGGGCTCTCTTGGTGAGCCATAATTCTAGATGACAAGATTAAACTGCTATACCCCAAAGTCAGTGTGCGCACACTACATGAGAACGAAGAGAACTGACCGGGGTTTGAGGAATGTAGGGGTGGAGTATGGTATAAACGCGAGAAGAGAGGTGCAGCGCGTGGGCGAATGCAGGCTGGAGGTCTTTGTCCTCGGAATGCTTACCTAATCAGACGTGCAGGCCATGATCAGCGAGTCCGTGGACAGGAATCACTGATTGAATCGTTGAGACTAGCTAAATGGCTACAAAATATTTAGACGTATGCAAAGACTGGCGTAACGTATATGAGATACAGCCTTGGATGTAGCGAGGGAGGAATGGTCAGCGCAGGGCTAACTACTGTTGCTCCAGGGATATGTCAGATGCATAACGGGCCCTTCCCAACGCAGGCGAACGTTGCAGGTGCGAAACACCCCACGCGCACTGGACGAACGATTTCCAGACGTACGTGAAGTCTCGGCGCATGTTTGACAGACGACATCGGACACCCCAATATCAGTTATCTTCTGCCACCTGTGACTCTGCAAACGTTAAACGTGAGCACAGCGACCTGTAGGACATGCGAAGCATAAAGACGCACTCCCAATCTTCCGCTTTCCCCTCCATTGATCACCAACCCAAGACGGAGTCTTCAAGGTGGGCGTCAATGTAAGATACCTGCCATCCTCGCGCTGAAAGCCAATCTGGACGGACTTCCACTTTTCCTCCCCATCTTCACCCTTCGATCTATGCCACAATTGGACTGTGGTCCCATACTTGTGCATAAAAATGTCTCCATCTTGTAAGCCACAGCTCGGTAGAAGTGGCGGTGGCTCAGAACGGCGGGATGGTGAAACGAGTTCGAACCAACAGTTATACAGCTTCTCGCCACCGTTGGACTCCTCGCTGCCGCGAATAGCATGCTTGTGCTGCTGCAGCTGCAGCAGAGCGTTAAAATCTATTCACTCCAGCAAAGTAGTAGCAACACACCTTGATTGCGGTCCCAACTCCATCCTGCGCCTCAGGCACAACCTCTGGAGCCGTCGCCGACGGCGCTCTAGACCTGGACCGAGATGTACGACGCCTACGGGTGCTGGGATTCGCTTGGGGCGCCGGGAGGTCTTCGCTGCGAGCGGCCGAGGCAGAAGCGGACTGATGGGGGGCTCGTCCGAGAGACCGGAGGCTGAGGAAAGGATGGACTGGGTGCGTCGAAGTATGCTGCGAGAAGGTTTCTTGACCGGGGCAGTTCCGACACCTCGTCGGGGTCGGAATTGTCTTCATCGACCTCAACGCGAGGGACCGAGAGAGGCTCCGCTTTGACACTGTTGGTGTGTGGCAATCAGGAGGGGCAACAGAGATAGAAACAACGAGTGCTTACGCTGGTGCGTCCTGCTTGGCACGGTGGACGTTGAACACTGTGGGAGCTGCCCCACGTCCAGGAGGGACTCGAGCAGAAAATTGGAGCACAGTTGGTTCGCGACTTTGGACTCGAGTGGCGGCAGAGAAAGCGTGGTTCATTACCGGCTGAGACTGAGGACCCTTCATGTACCAATAGAGGGTGTGGATAAGCAAGCAGGCTGCCAGGGAGAGGCATAACTGGGGGATAATATGCCAGTGAGACTCGGGTGGAAGCGATAGCATGGACGCAGAAAAAAGGTGGTGGTAGAGACGCAGGTAGTAGAGACGCAGGTGGTGGTAGAGACACGTGCATAAGCGCCAATTCATAGTGTAAGCTGTCGGCGGCCATTCACCACAAAACTCTATGTCCGAATCACAAAGACAACTGCATAGAAACAATTACAACACAGTATCAAAACAGTGCCCATATTCATGCCAGACGACTCGTAAAGCAGTGTACACGAACACGAAAGTGGCCATCCAACGACCCACAGTGGATATCTGGGCAGCGCACGATGAATAGACGAAGTATTCTGAATAGTGTAGATCTTACCTGAGACATCACCGCGGAAAAGGATCCGCTCGCGCTACGATATCTCGGTATCAAAGGTCCATCTGAACCTGTAAATCAAGTGAGCGTCAAGATGAATTGCAAGTGGAACGCGGACGTACGAGCCTCCTGAGCCTTCCATAGTATGATAGGACACGGTACTCCGAGCCGAAACAGCCCAGTGACGATAACAAAGGAATCTGTGGAATTGTCATAATGGCTCTAGAGAGGTAGTGGCCGTCAGTGGTTTATAACGATCTCAACGTAGACATATACACACATCGATCGCGAGCACAGATCCAGTCTCTGCAACAAGCATAAATCACTTGAACGCGGGATACCGTGAGCCTGTATGCTTACCGGGGAGCGAAAGGGTCTGCTTTAGGCGAGTATAAACACTCCAGATGTTGATTTTGCCTTGCGATGTACCACCGAGAAAGGCGGTACCTTTGTGCAGAAAACGCACAGGCAGCGGTCGACGAGCACTAACATCCTGGTTGACTGAGAACAGCGGCTCAATTTCACCCGGTTTGTCCACGAGAAACAGCTCAAACCCGTTGAGAAGATTAGAGACCGCGAGTAAAGTGTGATCAGGGCTGAGATGGGCATCGGCGCTATCAAATAAGAAGTCAGTGATTGAAAATCGTGTAAGTGGCGGCAACAACACGCACATAAGACCGGGTACAGGCATCATATGGAGACGAGAGCCCGTCCTCCCATCAAAGAGCCTAGATGTTACTATCAGCTGGGTCGAGAACCACATGAACTCGATATAACTCACACGATGCCGTGACTCATGTACGTGACCAGGAGGAGGGAGGGAGAATCAAAGCTGCTTGTCCAGTGGAGACTGGTCACTATAACGTCCTGGTTTGTTGTGCACGCACTGCGAGGTGGGGGGTCAAGCAAAGCCTTCTCATCCCATGAGTCTGAGTCCGCATGTATGTTAATAAATGTGTATTCAGCGAAATGGAGGAATTCACTAACGTGCACCAACGCGAGACCAGATCTTGACTTGTTCATGAGCTCCCGATGCCATACAGTTGCCCTTGACAGCAAGTCGTTCCACGGGATAGTCGTGCGCCCAAAAACCGTCCAACTTGATGATAGTCTATTGAATTGAGTTGTCAGTCGTCCATATGATACGCACAAGGCGAGCGGGAAACACGTACCGATGTGATGGAAAGAAAGGCGATGGTACCATTTTCCATGCCGCAGACCATTTGATCGTTGGAGGTATCGAGCCACAGCAACGAGAGGATAGCGCTTTTCCCTGAAAAAACATACCTCAAAGTACCGTCTGCAACGCTCCAAACACAAACTCGTCCATCCAGCCCTCCGGACGCCACAAGGTCTCCATTTTGGCTGAACGTTACAGCGATGACTGCATCCGAATGGCCCTCTGGGTGTGCCATACGAAGCAGCGGTTGATACAGCAAGGGCATGGGATAGGTGGTTTTTGATGATAGGATGCGTGAGGAGAGAAGTGAGGTGTGGAACAATTCAAGTTGGGCAGACGGCATATGAGAGGAGCCAAGCGGACGGGGTGTGCGTTGTCCAAACGCGAAAGGTCAAACAACCATCAGCTGTAAAGAAGGCATTTGGAACGTACCAAAAACACAAAGCTCAAATACCTCCGAGGTCTAGCTACGTGTTGATGCGTGAACGGGAACAGGGAGGAGGGTTATCCCTTGTGCGCGAGGGGAGGCCATGGAGGTCGGGGTCTGAGGCCTTGAAGGCCTGAAGTCCGAAGAAAGCCGCGAGAGTACACGAGCAGGCGGGGTGTGCGCGCTTGTGCGGCGCAAAAAGGCCTGCGAGTCAGCGCGCACGCAGGCGCACGGAGCCCTCCCTCAGACTTGTCGGAATCAACACCTGTCTGCCGGTGAGTCTAACGTGTGCACATCATTCCTGCGCGCGGATCTCACAATACTCACGCAAGTTTGACTTAATTTGGCCACAACAAAATTATCTGCTGGGACGGCATAACGTATCCACAAGTACTCGTTCGCGCATCGCTTTCGGTGGCGATAGAGCCCGAGGGCTTCAGTAGGTGGCAGTTAGCACTCCACGGGCTTTCGGTAAGTTGCTTCGTTGCTTCGTTGCTTTCCGCGCCAAAGCTTAACGTGCTTCGTCACCCCTGCCTTTACGCGATCAGCGGCGTCGTGGGCGAACAAAGCTCCCATTTCGCGGCCCTCGCCCTATAAAGCCGGCGGGTCCCGTCTCGAGATGGCACCGTTATATCTCGTCAGCCATGTCGGAGGTGAGTGTTCATCCTAACTTCTACTACCTTTCTCTCCATTGACAACTCTGCAGTCAGAGAACGCTACAAATAACACGGGGAACGCGCTCATCTTGGCACAGATACACCAGGTAAGTCGTCCGGTGCCAATAATTCGCCCTGTCTCATGCTAACGTCATGTCAGAGTATTCTGATTATCCGTACACCAAACGAAGTTGAGGAAGCCCTCGCCTTGGTGTCCGTTGCCCCCGACTACCTTAGGCCCCGTTATTGTCAAGTCGATATCGGCCTGGACGAAGGCGCACCTACATCTGCAGCGCAGATATGTCGTCTTCTTCAGCTTCTCCCGGAGGTTGAAGATCTCTGCATCACTCTCCCGCTCGCTATCGCCCAGGGCGCTTTCAACCGCGTGTTCCTTCGCAGCCTCACCAAGTTTTCCACCAACTTGCAGTTCTCCACCATCTCCAAGTTCTTGTCTTTGCATCCCCGCATCGACACGATCGCTCTTATGTGCCAGCCCACCATTCCCTATGAACCTTACGCCGTCTCGCCGATCCTCAATGTGCATTGCTTGTTATGTCCCGTTCATCATCTTCAGCAACTCCGCGTTCCCTTCCTTGGCCTCCACACCCTTTCCGTGGACGTTAACCACGTCGGGGACTGCATGTCCGACAGTCTGGAGCAAATTTTGAAGAATACCGTCATTCGCCAGACACTATTCCCTCACCTCCGACGCTTGATCGTCCAGACGACACCCGGAGATGTGCCACTGATGCGGGCGATATCTCGTGTCTTCCCCAATGTTTCCGACCTTACTATAACGGAAACGACTGGGATACCTGTGAGTGCATTCGTTGTGTTTAATGCCTTGTTTCTTACTCTGTGACTATCACAGGGTCGGACTCTTCGAGACCGCGTCATGGTCAGACGGCCGTGGAGTGACGTTGCGGATTGGCGTCAGCTGCTGCGCAGTCTGCAGTGCCTTGAACACCTATCCCTGTACGTTACTTGTCCGCTGTTCTCTGGCGACCTCGGCGACATCGACGGGGAGTGGGGAACGATTGACGGGTGGATCACATTGAATCCTCCTGGGCTTCCCCACCCTACGCTTCGTCGCATCCAATTGGCGTACTCCGCGCAGTCTGGCTTTCCCCCTGGGGTGTTGTCGACGTGGCAGCGCGTGCGTGGAAAGTTGCTAGATTGGATTAGGAATGATGTAGAGCTCGATCCATGCGCCGTGAACGATGTAGTGATCGACGGGATGCCTTGAACTGATGTAGTGCTCGATGTAACCCTTCTACGTGCCAATTGCAGCCCATACAGGATACTCGTCTCTCTCCGTTGCGCCTTCAACGCCGACGTCCATTGGCTCTCCCATAGCTGCGTTACGCACTACATCAAGTACGAGTGTAATCGATATCGTAAGGAAGATGAATGTCAATAGCTCTAATGCGCCGAGTAGATCTGTGTAGAAAGTATCGAGGACTCTGGTCATCAACAGAGCCAAGTGCTTGAAGGTGGCCTGGAAGGTAGTCAGATAACGGTATGTGCTTGATGACGTAGATCGGCCTGCCTTTGTTCCGCTCAACAGCATATCTGCGTAACGCCGCTTCAAAGACGCGAGTTTCGGGGCGAACCACTCGCTAGGGAGGTCGGCTTCCGGCGGAGTGATCAAGGCTTTCGCAAGGGACTCGTAGCAGTCATGAAGGGAAATCAGGTCTTGTCCAAGTCCGTGCAGCTTCCCGGCGACATCGTCGCATGCTCCGCGCAGCCCTTCGAGCTCCGCCGCGATCTGAACGAGCTTACTTCGATCAGCTGCACACTGAGACTTCAGAGCCGACATGTCCAGCTCGATGCCCGCCTGGCCATCCCGCAACGTTGCTATGTGTTCGATCTCCGAAGTTGCTGCGGCATTCCTGTCCGAGTTGTGCATGGCATCTGTGATGCCGTCGGGATCAACTTGAGCGCCGCAGCATTATAAACGACCTTCCTTGCCTTTCACCTGGCCAACCATCTGTTTGAGAGCTACCAGATGCGCGATAGAATCCTTTCTAAGATGCGAAGCATCCTCTTCTAGACTTTGAACCCGCAGGGTTATCTGCGATAGCCGCCGCTCTTGAATAGCGATGCGCAGGAGGACAATACAAGCACTTACCGACCGCTTTTCCAATGCAGCCATCCGCCGATTTTTGGTCACATGGTAGAACCCTTCAATAGCATCGATCTCAATGCTTACTTGGTGGAACGAAGGTTTCTCCGTCTGCGAACTTGAAGAGGCATCAGATAACAGTATACGGACTTGTGTGCATGCTCTTCACTTAGCGTCATCGGAATCCATGCAGCAGATAAGACGTGGGATGGAAAGGGGCCAAGATTTTTGGCGGAGAAGAGTTGAAAGGAGATGCAGGTGCAAGCAGGCGACGCAAGAAGAAAGAGCATTCAAGCGGCCAAGCGTGCAGAAAACGTAGACGCTGGCGCTCCTCTGACATTTTTTCTTACCGATACCACCTCGAGCTCAGCATTCTTCGCTTCTCCCTCTCTGCCTCTCACTCTGGTCGTTATGAGCAGCTCCAGCTCCCCAACTCGCTTCAATGGCCAAGCGGCCCTCCGACTGGTGAGAGTCATCGATCGAAATACATATCGGCGAACACCGCCACTGAAACTGTCTGCCCATTTCTCAGGCGGCGCAGGAACGGCTTGTTCAGGTAAGCTGTCATCTCGCTCAAACTTCCGGAGCTAACCACCTTCAACCCCCTAGACCCATGTCAATCTTCGCACATGTGATGCCCTGGAGGCGTTTGTGCAGGCGGCCAATCACCGCGCCACCCTCGCTCTGTCCGTCAAGGAATTCACTTGCAGGCTCTCCCTGGAGACCGGATATCCTGCTCAACTCCTTCGAGACTCCATTCGCGCTTGCATGAATCTGGAAAGCCTCTCCCTCCATCTCCCCCTCTCATCGCCCCCGACACTCTTCAACAACCTCGTGTTTCCTCGTCTCCGACGGTTCACGACCAACTTGCGTCATTCGGCGCTCCGCCAATTCCTCTCCCAGAACCCCACCATAACGACACTCCTTCTGGAAGCCTGTGGTCGGCCGGTGGCGTGCCCACTACGCGACATCGACCTTTCCGCCGTTACACGGCTGCAGTGTCCCGCGCGCTGTCTTGCCGCCGTTGCCGGCACTGACGTTGGCGCTGCAAGAGTACGGCTGACTCGGCTCTCATCCACCTTCTATGCCGCGATTGCGGCCCTCTCACACTCTCACGTCACTACCCTGACGCTCGACTTCTACTCCACCGATTACGACGCTCTCATCCGTGTCGGGGCTCACATGCCGCGCTTGCTCAAACTTAAAATGATCGAGAAGATGCGCGAGCCATTCGTAAGTCCACCCATCTGGACGTGGGCGCTCTGAACTTCGCTGATTCGTCTGTGGCAGCAAGCGCGTCGGGCCTGGAAGGATCTCCAGAGCTGGCATGACGGTCTGGCACGGCTCCCTAAGCTGTGGCTCTTCGAACTGGACACTTCTCTAAGTGTTGTCAGAGCTAGCCGCACGGAAGAGAACGTGGTCGCGGGATGGGCTGAAGGGACCACTTCGCGTTCGGTCGCCCACCCATCTCTTGTATGCGTACGGCTCTGCCAGAGAAGCGGGAGTGACGGACAAACTGTGAGCCATTGGGTTCGTGACGGCCCCGGGAGGTGGAACCGCATTCCGAACATGTCGACGCAGACCTGTATTTTTTAACCCGCCGAGTCATCTGTAGATTATGTGTACTCTCCTAGCTAGCCTCTTGATCGTCCCCACTACCAAGTTATAGTAGTCTCTGTCGTAATCTGTACCGCCGTATACACGGGTATCATTAAAAAAACTGTTCAGGCACTCGTGGTGTGTTAATTTTTTAGTGATTGTCTAAAACAGTGAGAATGACGATTTCAACCAGCACGCCAGGCAGCGCCCTTGACCCTTCCTCTCATTGACGCTTCTGCAACCATGCCACTCCGTCCTCTCTGCCACCACCATCTCAGATGGGCCAAAAGTTGAAACTCTGCCTATGCTCTATCTGTCGACTGCAACATCATTATGACGACCACGGCGACGAACAGTCCGGACTTTGGCACCGGTCTGCGTTATGGAAGCGGCATCGTACGGACGACATACTCAGGCAAGCTCAAGAGGACTACCAAATGCACGACGCCTTACTTGACTCGATTGTGGATCACACGGGAGGAGCACCAAGGTCGCCATCTTTAGCTGTCCGTCCGCGCGACGAGGTGTGTTCCACAGTCAAGTTTCCCTTTGCAGCACTCAAGATCGACTAGGACCTCCAGGAGGAGGAAACTCCAGGAGGTGCTCTGGATGAAGACATGGACATCGTTGTTGAAGAAGATGGTGAAGTGGGCAGGGAAGAAGATGAAGAAGTGGGCGGGGAAGAAGAGGCTAGGGTGGATATGGAGACGTTCAAGATTCAGGTAAGTTGCGCGTATATTGTTCCAATTTCTTTATTCAGGCATGTGTTTCAGAGCAAAGAAGAGCGCATAGCGCATCGGCTCCAACAGCTCTCTTCGATCGAGTCCTCAATCTCTCAAGAAGTCCATCTCGTCAACCCTAGCACCCTCATTGTGGTGTTTTCACACCCCCCTACGTCTATCGAGGAACTTCCGGCTTCTCTTTTATCGAGAAACAAACACAACCATCAGTTCATTCGCAGTCGCAACGCCCTGGAGAGCTGCGTTGCCACTCTTCGCGCTTTGCCACCCATCGGTCATCGCGACGCGGACAGCCGGCGGGCAACACTCATTCAACGTGTCTGTACACGTTTGGACCAATTCGCAACGGCCGAGAAGGCTGCTTGGGAGCAGGAGAAACTGAGGTCAGGGTTATATGGAGTTCCGACAAGCCATCCAGGGGTCCCAGTTCTCTACACCGGTGCGTCATCATCATCAATGCATTTTCTGTCAGCAACTAATAAGAACGTGCGGCAGGCGGAAGCGCGGCTCGGACCAGTCCCGTCCTGCAGCCGTGCATACTCGCGGTGTTGTTGGTGACATGTACTCTCCACACCGTGTCCGGCTTGAACCGTCTCGCCTCCGATCTAGTACTTGCCGCGTTCCGAGTACTACTTGTCGGAGCGTTCATGCTCGGCACACCTCGGACGGCTTCTAGATCTCCGGAACAGAGAGCTCTCCTCTCGTCTATACCCCGCGACATTCGAACGGTGCTGCACGCTTTCGATATCGAGCCGCCAATCATCCGTTTTGCGACATGCCCTTCGTGCAACATGACCTACCCTCCCCACGGCACCAATGACCCCAATAGCCCCTCACTCTATCCGCCGACCTGCACGCACTCTGAAATGCCGGGTCAGACACCTTGTGGTGCCTCGCTAATCCACCCGACAGGCCACTCCGCTCAACCTTTGCACCCATATCCTTTCCAGTCACCTTTCTCCTGGATTGCCACCTTGTTCTCGCGCCCTGAAACGGAGCGAGAACTTGTCGACTCATGGGTCAAGACAGCCCCTGCTCCGGGAGCTCCCTGGGCCGATATTTTCCAGTCTCCAGGAATACGCCGTTTCCGCGGGCCTGATGGTGCGTTATTCTCCGAGCAAGTAGGCGATGCAGTAAACCTCGTCTTTGGCTTGTACATCGACTGGTTCAATCCCGGCGGAAACAAGCAAGCGGGAAAGTCAAAGTCGATCGGCACCATCTACATGGTATGCCTGAACCTTCCCGCAGACCTACGCTTCCGCCCGGAGAACATATGCCTCGTCGGAGTCATCCCCGGCCCAAAGGAGCCCTCTACGCACGAGATAAACCACTTCCTTCGACCCATCATCGATGACCTCCTTGTTCTCTGGACGTCGGGACTTCAGCTGAGCTCGACCGCCCTACTCCCCCTCGGCCGTGTCATTCACGCGGCGGTCATCCCCCTTATCTGTGATCTCCCCGCCCTTCGCAAAACCGCCGGCTTCGCAGGCCATGCATCGAAGCTGTATCCCTGCTCGTACTGCCTACTGCCCAAGTCCGATTTCAACAGCCTTAATCGTGCGACCTGGAAGACACGAACTTGGCAGGAACACCTCAACATCGCTACGCAGTGGAGGGATGCGCCCACCAAGGCTGTGCGAGATGCCATCTTCGACAAGCATGGCATCCGATGGTCTGAGATGCTACGCCTACCATACTGGGACCCTACGCAGTATGCCGTTGTGGACGCGATGCACAACCTGTTCCTGGGAGAAGTAAGACACCACTTCCGCGACATCTGGGGTTTGGAGGTCAAGGATAGCCAGAAGACGCGGGATCCATCAACCCATTCGCCGGAGGACCAGAAGAAGTGGATCGATCACGTCGTCAAGGCTCTTCGCACGCGCTCCCTTTCATCACTACGCAAGGCGCGCAGGGGCTACCTGGTAGCTTTTTGCCAACTGAATGGCATAGTCCCAACAGAAACCACGAAGGCGCACTATGCTGCCGCCCTGTCAAACTGGGTAAATCGACACTCCTCGGACGATGTGGACGCCGTCGATCTTCTCCAGGTGCCACCCCCGCTTTCGACAGCCACGGAGAACTTCCACATCGCCGATAATGCTTACGATGTATCCAAGCATCAAGTCTTTACGGCGAGCATCATTGGCAAGGTTCGGTCGGACATCAAGGGGACGTATCTTCCATCTTGGCTCGAGCGTCCTCCCTCCAACTTCGGCAGCTCATCGCATGGCAAGCTCAAGGCCGACCACTGGAGGACCATCTGCACCATTAGCCTCGTTATTTCCTTGGTGAAGATATGGCCGCACGACACTGCTTCTAGCTCGGAGCTTAAGGTGCTTGAAAACTTCGTCCATCTCGCAATCGCCGTTGATTTGGCGTCTAGACGCTCTATGAGCCCAGAGCGTGCGCGCTTGTTCGATGCGCACATGGCCTCGTATCTCCGTGGCATCCGCGAGATTTTCGACCACGACCTCGTCCCCAACCATCATCTCTCCCTTCACCTGTGTACCTGTCTTCTCTTGTTTGGACCAGTTCATGGCTGGTGGGCGTTCCCTTTCGAACGCTTCAACGGTATCATTCAACGCCTCAACACGAACAATAAGATTGGTATGTGAACACTGCGACCATCTGCTTGTGCCATTCAACTGACTTGGTCTCTTTATAGACGAAATTCCCCTCTCGTACATGCGTCTCTTCTGTCTAGGCTCTCGTCTGCGACACATATTCGACTCTACGGACTGGCCCGATGAAGAGGAATTTGACGATCTCACATTCGCCTTCCGGCAGATGTATCCGGACACAACTCAAGGATCACGCATTGTCGACACCGTCTCTGCAGCATCGAAGCTCGCTCGACAGAACTCGCTTCGAGATCTGTTCAATCGCCTTATGAAGAAGGAGACTCAGCTCCCGGAGGGAACCTACGCCGAGCTGATGCAACTGCTCAACCACTGTGGATCCGCATCAGCAGATGGAGCAGCCGCTCCCTTCATCGCCTTCCCTGATACTCGCGATCTCCCATCGTCTCGCCTCCATCGTCGCGCCATATTTATCCCGAAGCTCGAACTAGGGAACATAACCTACGGTACCCGTGACGACAATATACGGAACTCATTCGTATGTGTTCGCGATCCTCTCTCTAGCGACACCACCTCCGCTCCGATCCCTGGTCAAATCAGTCAAATATTTCTGCATCGTCGGACGACTCCTGACCACGAAGAGGATCTCATTGAACCCTTCATCGTCATCGATCTCTATGCCACCCTTTCCCAAGCACACTCCGCCCATGATCCATACCTCCGGTTCCCCCTTCTCAACACGAAGCTCGTCTATGATCGCTTTTCTCGAAGCATCCTGATTCGACCAGAACATATTGTATGCCACTTCGCTAGATTGCTTTACCAACCAGACCACATTTCTGAAGCATGCAACGTTGTGCGGGCCCTTGGTCGTGTATGTGTCTTACATGCATTTCCCACCTATATGTCGCTGATTATTTCGTGCAGAACTAGTTGTGCCTCTGTACTGTCTAGATCTCGGTGATGCAATGTTGGCGCTAAGACTCGATCTTCAGAAAGATTCGTGGGAGGACACCCTCCCCTCACCCAATCACTCTGCAACTTCGCGTGGATTGCGTTGCGATAGGTGAGTAGAATGTCCGATGCGATAGCTACGCGGAGTTGCGGCGTAGCTCATCGTAGCTACGGTCTGCCGCGTCGCGGCGCTCCGACGCAAGCTATGAGCAGCTTCGAAACCATCGGGGCTTCTCATAGCTACTGCGCCGAGACTCTCATGCGGCGCATGCCCCGTATGCACCGTCTTGGAGCCATTGGAACTCGAGCGGGTGGCTGCGTAGCTACCCGGCGCTACCTGGAGCTCCTCCGGCGCTACCTGTAGCTACCCTGGAGCTACCAGCCGCTACCAGCCGCCGGAGCTACTCGATTGCGGCTCTCCGACGGCAACCACGCTTCCCACCGAGATGGCAGCGCGTTTCGGGACCAACCAGCGCGCATTACGGTCTACCGCGATGCGCCCAGGGCGCAGAATCGCGACACTGTGGATCACTCCAGATCCAAGTCCGCGCTCCGACACCGGGTAACAGTTCGCAGGTGAGCTCCCTCACCAAACGCATCGTCGAATGCTCTTGACTCATTCTTCTTTCATGCAGTGCTCACCGGCAGGAACCTGCACCGACGCCAGGCGCCCTTGTCGTTGACTGTGTAAATCGTTTCGTAGGCACTCGTGAAGCTGTTGTAGCATTTGGATTGTCATGAGCGTCGTGAAATGCACCGAACTCACGCCACGGGCTGGCTGATTTTGTGCGTTCTGATCACCAACATCAGCACGCCCACAGGGTCAAATGGGGGCGTCTTGGAAATGTCAGTAGCCAGTTACCGTCGTCACCAACATTTCCAAGAGCGGGAGACATTCTTGGTCATGTGAACCGGGCTGCAACATTTCCGAGATGCGGAAATGTTTAAGTCATATGACCTGCTCGGCAACATTGCGGGTTCTGCGGCATGTTCAGGGCCGGGCTTGCCGGCGCACAACATTCTTTTCAACATTTTGGAAACTCAAACACAAAGCATGGCGGGGACGCGGAAATGCTAGGGAGATTGTCGTGGAACGGACTCTGGACTCGCCCTACGTATTATTTTTCGTCTTTTCTTTGCCTTTTCTCTGCCTGCTACTATATTGGAAGGTTGTTCCCGCGCTTAAGCGCCCGTATCGCGG